TTCCAGGGTCCTAGTGAGAAGTCTAGAAGGTGAAGCTTTATGCTGCTACCCATCTTTGTTTCCCCCTTTTATGTGATTCTCAATCTATCTTTCACTCATTGTTTTGGCAAGACATAAGCTGCTATTATACAGAAACTTTATTTTTAATTGTAACATATTGGGAGAATGGATAAAAAATAATTTTTAAATCTGATTTCATCAGAAAATATGTATTTTGATATACAAGAGACTCCATACATTCATGCAATATGCATCATCTAACATTCTGTAAATATCTTTTTTTTTTTTTTTATACATATATATATATACACAGACTTTTGGATTCCTAGCTACAGTCCTTTGTGTTTTAAGCATATGGTCATCCTACAAGGTTTCATGCATCACTCAATCAACAGGTCAGTATTATGCTTGGTCTCTGCTAGATGTTTCCCAAATGAATGTTTATATTTTCCTCTGGCAGTGCCTATCTGGAAGGATTTATTAACATTCTGTTCCTTGTTACTCAAAAGTTACTCACAAAGCAATAATTCTGTACTGTCAGTCGAAAAATATGTATCAGAACTACTGACAGCTGTTAACAACTAACAAGTGGAGCAAAATAACTTGCTTCTAGTAAGCGGTAAATGTATCATTGCCCTCTCTTCTCCCTCCCCTACCCCCGGCGAAGAGAAGGTTTCCTGTGTGTTCTTTAATCTACTAGATGAATTTGTTTGTGGCAAACCAAGTGACACTGGCTTCCTCTTCAAAGATGCAGCTGTATGACTCTTCATCTCAGCAAGACGGCTGTGCCTTACTAAATAGGATACCAAAGATGAGACTCCACCACGGAGGGGAGAGCGTGGGTATTTTGTTATAGCCTGGACAACTGGTAGCTTTTGAAGATCTACTTGAATGCCTATATAAAACAATGTTGGCAACCAAAGGTTTTTTGCATCCTCCCCTTGCCCCTTGAAAGTTTATAATGGAGAGCCTGCTTTTTCTGAGCTTTATCGAGAAGGACTACTTCTGTCTCACAAGTTGGGCTGGGGTCATATTCAGCTATTTGCAGTAAGTACGTTTAAAACTCATTTGGAGAGCTGTTCAGTTCTCCTTCCAGAGGGATGGAAAAATTACGTCTGATTTCCTCCATCTGTTTACAGAAGGGAAATCCTGCAAATTCCTACCTGATTCTTAACTTCCAAGGATGATTCCTTTAACAAAGGAACTGTTACAAACTGATTTGTGCCTGGAAAGTTAACCCAAGTCTTTGTTACCTCTTCCTATCACAGCCGTGGATTATTTTTAACATCAGCTCAGCCAGCATCAAAAATTATGAACTGCAGGTTGGATAAATCACTGGAAATGCTCCCTCCTAGCCCCAACAGTACAGTAGGATTTATACATGATGAAAGCAGTTTTTTCTTCATGAATTTTTATCATTTATTAACAATCAAAGATTATTCTTAAACACTTCCCTCTGCCAAATACAGGAAAATACGTACCCAAGAATATTTGTGTAATGGTTTGTGGGCTCTTTTTCTTTCCTTTTCACAACTCTTCATTTGTAAAGTGGACATTTGTAAGACCTGTTCTGTAGGAAATTTCTGTGCATTCCTAGAAATTATTCTCTTTGGAGTCTGACGGTGCTTACAGAGAGTCCCCTGTGAGCAGAACAGTGTGCTTCTTTCTCTGTCTTACATGAAGAAGACTTCTGTCTCTGCTGGGATCCATATTTTCAGAGACTCTACTTTGGGATTCCAGGGCCTGAACAGGCAGAACAGATCAGTTTAATCCAACCAGATATTGTTGTGATATTCCTCTGCTGTTTCTATGTCACTTTGAGGCTGAGACAATTCTGCTAACTTCTTAGCAGCTGCCTCTCTGTCCTTTTGCAATCCATTTCTGGTGAGCTGGAAACTCTTTGCAGGAAAAAAGGGAAGCGCAGGCCCCTCCGCCTTAGTGCAGTTCCCTTTCGTATCTAGCTGTGAAGTAGAACTTTTCGTTCTAAGTCAGTCTGTTCTGTCAGGCCACGACAGTGCAGCAGGTTTCTGCAAAAAATAGGATTTATACAGGGTACCAGGTCCACTGTGGAGGTAAGCAGCATTTTCTGGCCTGTTGTGCATTTTTCTATTTGTCTGAAACTCTGCATAAATACTGCTCAACAATTTAATGATCCTCTTGTAGAAAACTCCTCTTTTGGGGCCTCACAGCAGGTGCCTCATACATTGCCATTTGTTGCCACCATATATTTTTTTGTCTCTCATCCTAATATATGCATCTTGACTTTTTTTTTTTTACTGTTTGCCAAGAGAAGTTGGCCAACTGCTAGGGCTCTAAAGATTTGACTATGTAAACAAAAATAACTGAGAAGGCATCCTGGGGAGGTAAAAATCCCACTCCTCATGATGCATCGTGTCTGTGATTCCTACTGCTGTTCATTTTTTTAAGTGGTATTTTTACAGCAACACAGAACAGGAAACAATTTGAAAGCACAAATGTCTGCCATCTGTGGATGAAGATACCTGGGATCACTCTGAGAGCTATTGCTTTGACATTAATATAGAAGATTATTGAAATAAAACTATTCAACAGACAGTTATAACATTATCGATGTCATATTGATTATTTTTGATTTGTCGACAATGTCCAACTTTGGCCTGCATATCTGCCCCCTGCCTCCAACTATGTGTTTGGTTGGAAATGTGTCACTTTTTATTTTTTAATAGTCTGAATTGAGCATGCCTCAGTGGCTCGCTGGCTTAAGAGAACAAGCTTCCTTGCTCTGCCAGCACACCTCAGCCTGCCAATTCAAAGGGCATACAGGATAAAAGAGTTCATTCTTGGTGCATTGAGTGAAAATACCTGCAGAAGAAGGTGATGGGGTTTGAGGGGTTGTTTTGTTTTTTATTTTTTGTGTTTTTTCCCCAATAAGCATGCTTAAATCAGTGATCACTGATTCTCCTGCCATGACTGACTTAACCAAAGTTTTTGGAAACTGGTGGCCTGACTGTAATTTGCATCAGCATAGTAGATATGTAGGAATACAACCTCTTCTTTTCACTCAGAGGAAACAGAAATGCTGTGTTTCTGTTGGTGTTGCCTTCACCTCTTGAGAGAAGCGCTCAGATAGATATTAGGCACCTTCCCACAAGTTTTCCCTGCTCTTGCCAACTATGCGGAAAGCAAGCGTTCTGCTGCACACAGCTTGCAGGCTACTGAACCCTCCGAGCTGTGGTGTCTGTGGGGAGAAGCATCTGCTAAGGATTTGAGCTGGAGGCTGAGCTTCGGGTGAAGAAAAGGCTGTTCCCACTCTGTGCTGGAACTGTGCCCCCTCTCCTACCACTTTTTCAACCTCCCACTTCATTCTGCCATTTGCCACTATGTGGGAAAAAAAAATCTTTAGAGGAATTTCATGCAAAGAAATTGGCAACCAAAGAATTCCTGGATGACACTCAGTGATCACCCAAAGAATATGTTTTGATGCAAGTTCACTTGTAAATAGTGGATCAAGAGGAGTAAGTTAAAAGTTTGCCTTTTGGTTTTGTGCCTATAGATAGGACAAAGACACGAGATGAAAGTCTCTCTGCAGCTCTGGCTATTATGACAGTGCTGGGTCCAAAGATCCACCAGATGCTCTTAATGCAGGATGTTTTCAGGCTGGAAAAGTGACATTTCTGCTGGCATAGGTTCCTCACTTCCCCCAAATCCTCCTTGCGAAACATGTCTCCCAGAAAAAGCACAGTTTTGCTGGCATCACCAGCTTTACCAAGGGGTCTTTGAATGACAACTCTGTCTGACAGGGACTGTGGCATCTCACTCCTGTAGTTATGCCAGCAAAAGTGTTTTGAGTTTTCTTTAGTGTCCTCCTCGTTCTGAAAGCTCCATCTGTCTGTGACTTTGTCAAATATGGACTTCCAGGTGTTTCTTAAAAATAAACTGTTTGCTATTTGAATGATATAACTGCTTTGAGAATAAGCGTGTTGTCTTGCTCATTTTTTTTTCTTCCTGTACTAAAGCAGTGATTTTTCTCTCTGGGGATGGGGCATAATATATCCTGTACCTGGAGGACAAAAGAGATAGGAGCCATAGAAAAAATTATTCCCCTTCCCTTGTGTGTGTGGATGTGCTGGTCTCTGGCTCTCCCACCCAAAAATTGTCCATCCTCTTCAGCCCAGAGATGAGTGTAGTATTTTCTTTGCACCAACGCAGGTGGAGTTTAGGGTTCAGTTTTTGCTGAAACTTAAAATACAAATTTGGGGGGAAGAAAATGGGTAGTATAAACTGTTTCATACTGTAAGAGAAGCTGATGTTTGAGCTATGGGGGTTTGAGACAAGGCAGAGAGTGGCTAATGCTTTTGTGCAGGTAGAAACCGGGAAGGTGAGAAGGGGAAATGAAACTGTTACAGAAAAGAGGAAGGATGGCTCTGAAAAGCTTGAGGACCACAGTGCTGGATGAAGACACTGCAGGTTATGTGACAGCTTGCATAATTTTTCCGTTGCTCTGAAATGGCTGCATTTTGCCCTGTGTGAAATACAAGGGTTTGGGTTCTTCCCTCCTAAAAAGGCTTAGGGAGCAAATCACTATGTGGGGTAGAGAGGGGATGGCAGGGAACTAGGACAATGATAAATTAGTTTCGTGGTGTTAATGAAGTGGGCTGGGGGTTGGCTGATGCTCCAGGGAAGAGGACTAGGAGCTTATTAGGACAAAAAGGTGCACAGTACAAGGAAGAGCAGGTGCAAACATTAGGAAAAAGCTTATGAGGGGAGGAACTAGTGTGGGCACCTTATGCACTAATGCAAATGCTGGCAGGTATCAACAGTTTGTGGCTGTGTCAGGACTGAAGGGGCAGACCTGTCTGAAGTGGAAAAAAAGTCATTTTTCTCTGCCTGCCCACTATGTATGTGACTGTTTATATTTCATACTCCAAAAGTCTCTTTCAGATTTTTAATGTTCTGCTAAAGCTGAGAGGGAGGATGCAATAAACTTGACCCAAAAGCTAAGGAAAATGGCATCTAGTTGCCATGTGTTCAGCCTTGTTTAAACTGAGATTTTTTTTTTTTTTTCCTCATGGCCACACTGTTCTTAGGGACAGCATAGAGCAAAACACTGCTGCTGCGCTTAAGAGGCTGTGTGGTGGAGAGTAGCCTAGGCCAGCCTTCATCCTGGATGTGATAGGTGACAGGCCTGCACTTGGAGATTGACCTGAAATCCAAGGAAAGCTGGAGCTGGGTATTGCTGGGCCCTACTGAGTTTGACACTAGGTGTTAGGCTCTTGCACTGGAGCCCAGGACATGCTACTTGCTCTGTAAGATGGGGGAGAACAGGGCCCTTCAGAAAGGGTCTGTAGGAAACCCACATCCTGTTCTTTCTGCTTGCACTGAATTCAACACCTGTGTCGCGAGCGTGCCCCGGCCACCTAGCTCTACAGTACTCTTGAGTAAGGGCTCTGTGTAAGTCTCCTGTTTAGGCTTTCACAGACTCACAGAACGGTTGAGGTTGGAAGGGACCTCTGGAGATCGTCTAGTCCAACCCCCCCGCTCAAGCAGGGTCACCTACCGCACATCATTGCCCAGGATCGTGTCCCGAC